GTTAGAGCGTCGGCCTGCAATCCGGAGAGACCCGGGTTTGGTTCCTGCTAAGGGCATGTGCCTCGGTTGCAGTTTGTTCCCGGCCCTGGTTGGGTCGTGTGGGTGGCAACCACTTGATGTGTCCCTTTCACGTCGATGTTTCTCTCTCTCTCCCTCTCCCACTCTATCTGAACAAAATATAAAAAAAAAATGTCCTCGGGTGAGGACTAAAAATAAGAGCACGTACCTCGGTTGCAGTTTGTTCCCGGCCCTGGTTGGGTCATGCGGGTGACAACCATTCGATGTGTCCCTTTCACATCGATGTTTCTCTTTCTCTCTTTCTCTCTCTCATCTTCTCTGTCCCTACCACTCTATCTGAACAAAAAATGGAAAAATGTCCTCAGGTGAGGATAAAAAAAAAAAGAAAGTAAGAAAAATCCTCGGGTGAGGATAAAAAGAAAAAATAAGCAAACTTTTGGTTCTATTTATACAGTATTCAGTTCAGAAAGAAGACTATAATGAATCTAAGTAAAAAAATATGTAATTTTTTTCTTAAAGAAGGTAAAAATAAAAAAGTTTAGAGTAGTAATCAAAAGAAAAAAATCATATCTCACATTACTATATATGAATAGAAAATGATGGAAGGAAAATAACAAGTTTAGGATATAACCCCATGAAGTATGCTCAAGATAAAATTATATGGTTTTTATATATTTTATTTTATGTAACCATAGCAATCATTAGAGAATAATATACTTAGAATTACTGTATTTTCCCATTAGTGAGGTTTTCTGTTCTCATCCATCAAACCACATTCCAGTTAAAGCAAAAGGTTAAAGTTCACTATTTGGTCCCATTGCTTACACTATTCAGGCCTGTCTTTAGAGAGGGAAACATGAGTTTGGAGCAGGTTGTATAGTGGATGAGCTTCTCGGCCTAATATTCTTACAGAGATGAAATATGGTTTAAGAAAAGGATTAATAGAGGGTTCAACAAACAAACAGAATCTAAAATACGTATAAACAAAAATCAAAAGTAATGAAAAGTTTTGCAGAAGAGGCTGATGCAAGGTATACGCTGATACAAATGGTACCTTATACACCAGGAGTTACCTTGTGCTGTGAAACCATCCGAAGGAGGTGATGCTGGGACACTAGCAAGGCTCCGCTGATGCGTTTAATGAGGGGCAGTTTAGCAAAGCCCCTTCATGTGTAACTGCTCCTTGAACCTTGCTGAGGCAGGCAGAACAGATGTTAGCCTCCTAGTGTACAGACAAGAGCACGGAGGCTCAGAGACGTCAGACTTGCCCAATCTAGGTTTCCAGCACTGGAGCCCAAGGTCACGATCATTGTGGTTAAATCACCTGCAACAGTGGCTCACGAGGCTCCCCGCAGTCCCCATGAGGTGGACTAGCCATGATACAGATGAAGTAAGGACTGTGGTATTTCCCATATCTACATGGCAAAAAATTGCAGTCGTGACAGATTTCCTTCTAATGTTGCCTACCTTCTCTTAAAATACAGAAAAATCCTTTAATATCTCTTTTCCTGAATCTTACAACCCATTATTAAAGCCTCAGAAGTTGGCAAAGAAAGAAAAAAGGAAACTGAATCAGGTAAGCAGTTTGCTCCCAGGCTTATGATAAGAGGATAAAAAACATGGCTAAGTTTCCAAACTCTTGAAAAGCTTATAAATACCAAAGTAATTAACTATATCTTGAAGCACATAATACCATTATAATTACATTAGGGGGAAAGGATAGGTTAGAATAATAGTTTGAAAGTGATGACTTGTAAAACGTTTATTTCCCATACCATTTTGAAAAGAATGACATAGGTCTAGGAGGTATTTGAGGTGAACTAAAACTAACCCTTATTAAATGCACTTTTCTATTTAAAATTGCAACTGTAATTTCCTTTTAGGTATATCCTAACTTTAGGTCACAACCTTTGTTTCTCTTTAAATGGATGCTCAATTGATCTCCTAACTATTCACTTTTGCTACAGAAGGAAAGCATTATTAAATTTTTCATAGAGCTACCCATTCATGGCAAAAGAATTGCCATCGTTTACCAGTTCATTAGCATCATCTCAAATTGTGGCACTATGTAAGGTCAGGTGTCTGAGTGGTGGTGATTTCTGTGCGCTTATTCTTTTTTGCTGTTGTTGTTGTTAATCCTCACCTGAGGATATTTTAGACAGAGTGGAGGGAGGGTGGGAGGTAGGGAGAAGGGGAGGAGAGAGAGAGAAAAAACATTGATGTGAGAGGGACACATCTATTGGTTGCCTCCCACATGACCCCAACCAGGGCCAGGGATCGAACCTGCAACCCAGGCATGTGCCCTAGACTGGGAATTGAACCTGTGATCCTTCAGTCTGAGGGCCAACACTCAAACCGCTGAGCCAAACTGGCCAGAACTGTGTGCTTATTCTTGATTGACATTGTTTCTGTTTTACCAACCGTGGAACCTAAACATCAGCTCTAACTGCTGCACATTTGTCAGAATGCATTGTGTATGGTGACATTTTATGAGTAGGTGGTGCAAACTTTTACTTTTCACACATTCTCCCCACCCCCCACCACTGAATGGCTATCATGTTTTCCTCCCCATCACAGCCTTCCTGTCTTAAAAAGTTTTCACTCAGCATGGACTCATAACTTGGGCCAATTTTAGTCTTTCTTATTATTTTTACCCACTCTCATACCATAGTGTTCCTAATCTGTCCAGTCCAGTCGACATTAGGGGGACCTTATTCAGAATTTTATATTCAATTTTTATTGCCATGGATTAAGGTAAGAGGTAGAGAAACTGGATGTAGAGACAATGAGGTCTAAAAAAAGGAGAAATGGACTTAAAAAACAAATCCTAGCTGTATCACGCCAGCTGGATGCTTTGACAATGGGTAAGGGTTGAAGACGGTGCTAGGAAATAATACTTATTGCGTGCCTACTTTGTGCCAGGTGCTTTACACATATGTTATTTAATGCAATAACTCTACAAGATAAATTCCTTTATCCCTACTCTTTTGGGGCCTTAGTCATTTATTTTTAAAAGCTTAACAAGAGACATTCAAAATCTAAAGCTCAAAGAATTTAAATAACTTACCCAGAGTCTCAGAGCTTTAATAACAGAGCTAGGATTTAAACTCAGGTCTAACTCAAAAATTCAATAAATATTAGTTCTCCTGCCCTAGGGAAAGTACAGAAATGGCAATTTGTACCATCAAAGGGATCAAAGGTAGATTTTATGGGCAAAAGTTGGAGAACTTAATTGCTTAGCTTAAAAGGAAGTTTTAATTACCATTTTTTAAATGTGGAGATTCTCTAAGGAATATGTTGAACTATTATTACCCATGTCCATAAAAAAACACATAAAAATTAAAAGTTGTATGTATTTTATAGGATATAAAGAAGAATTTTTCTAGGTCCATCTCATTAATAGGGCCTATTATTTGCAAGGTACTTTTCTGGGTGCTGAGGAAAAAACTAAAATCTCATGGTCCAGTGAGAATAGGCCAGAGCAGACAAGATGCTCAATATATGTTGGATTTCTTAATAATTAGATAGTAAGATGTAGTAATGGCCTACAAGGAAGATGACCACATAGACCTGTAATTCTTCAAATGAACAAGGAAAATAGCCTTAAAAAGTTGCTGGAAGATTTTTTAAAAACTCATCAAAACTAGACAGCTTAAACTAGTAACTCTCAACCTTTTGAGAAAGGTAATGCTCCAACAATCTTTCATTTTGCGATGTTCCTTCCTCAGGAAGCTATATGTCTGTAGCTATTCATTCAACCAATCTTGACTACATGATCACTCTATTTAAGACACCACTATAGTACCTAACTGGCCCTTCACTATTCTCACCACCTAAAACCAACTTTTCATTCATTCTTTGGTCATATAGCTCCTATACAGGTGATCATAATTGGGTTATTTCAAAATGACCCTTGAATCATGAAACTACAGAGGTGTCTAGAACTCTCCAAATTCATAAAGTATAGGCTTCTTCCTTCAATCAGGTGAATTTCAAAACTACAATGATTCCTGGGACAACCTCCACTCTTCCACATTTCTTCAAGGTAAAGATAGAGACATACTAATACTGACCCTGGCTTACAAAAGTTACACACATACATAACCCAACACATAGAATTCAACTCAACAAGGATTTTTCTTCTCTCATTATCCAGGGAAATGCATGAGTTACCATGACAGACGCCAAAGACATTTGGCTCTGGCAGTGGAAACTGGGAGGCAATGGTGAAATGAGGTAAGAAATTCCAGGGCCAGAAAGTGGACGCAGGTCAACTGCTTTTCCCTGGAGCTTGCTCTTTTGGATAAGTGCTACAGGAGCAAGCCCGGACCCGCTGGCAGAGCCTCCAGTCCCCTCACCCCATTCCGAACCCTGCCTGGCTGGAGCAGATGCACGCCGTGGGGAGTCTCATCTGCTTGCCACAGGGCCGGGAAAAGGATTTGTCAGAAATCGTGAACCGTGAGGGCTAAGCGCTCTCATGCAGTCTAGGCAAGCGAATCATGACGAGCACAGTGTTTAATGGTTCACGGGAAAACAAGTTGCTCTCCTGCATGCCTGCACTCTTGCAGCCGGCTCCTGCAGTTGCGGCCAGCACTGGCGTGGCGTCCTGCCGGGCTCTAGTGTGCAGGAGCCGCGGGCACAGGGACACAAGGAGAGCCGCCCCAGGCGCTAGGGCCAGGGGGAAGCTCCAGAACGGCCTCTCGTTGATCCCCAAGGATGGGATGGGCCCTGATAAATACCCTTTCCGGCCAGATAGCGGGTAGGCCAAGTTCAAACGCAGGGTGTCCAGCCTGGGGTAGGTCTGGGAAGGAAGCCGGGAGATCCGGCCCGCCGCCCCCGCCCGCCTGCGCAGTGCAGACGCGCCAGCTTTCCTCCGGAGCGGAGCCAGGCTACTGCGCCTGCGTGCCCGGGTCCCAGCCCATGCAGCTTTCCCAGGCTGCCCGAGGCCGCCGTCACTTAGCAACGCGTGAGTCACAGTCGCGGCTCCCCCGCGCACGCTCAGGCCCTTTTCCTAGGGCAGGTCTCGGTGCCTGATGCACCTGTGAAGCTCCTCGCTGCCTTCAGGAAGGTCTCAGGAGCCCATGGAAGGAGAGGAGGATAAGCAGCTGTAAGTGCTGGGCTTTGGCTTTTTTTTCCCCTTCCAAAAAATATTTTCCTCCTTCTGGGGAAGGTTAAGCGAGACACCAGGGCTTTACCTCTTCCAGTGTCCCACCTCCCTTTCATTTCTAGTAGTTGAGCACTTACAGTAATGCTTTTTAAAACTCACTGTTTACTGGGCCCCTGCTGTGTGTACTTAACAAGCATTGTCTGGCCTAAAATTCCTGACGTCATCTTGAATCATCCACTCCCTCTCACACGCCACATCTAATTTGTTAGCAAATTCTGTAGGCTTTACTTTAGAAATATATCCAGAATCCACCACGATTAATGCCTTATACTATCATCCCCACCCTGGTCCAAGTGTCAGTGTCTTTACCTGGACAGTACAATAGTATTTTCTTCTCTCCTTGTCTCTCTGCAACCTTCTCACAGCGTTCAAGTGGTCTTTTTACAGTGCAAGTTAGATCACTACTCTCCTCTGGCTATCGCAGAGAAAAAGCTAAGGTTCCAACAATGGCTTAGGAGGCCTGCACAATGTGCCTCTTTCCCCTAACTTGCCTTATCTACTAGCCCTCTGACTCAACTCTGCTCCAGCACACAGGTCTCCTTGCTGTCTTCTGCAGTGATTCTCAAAGTGTGGTCCCCAGACCAGCATCCCCTGGGAATTTATTAGACATGCAATTCTTACAAGCTCCCCAGCATAGACATACCGAACGGAGACCCTGAGAGCAGAGCACAATAATCTGGGTTTGAACAAGGCCTCCAGGTGATTCTGATGTACCCTAAGTTTTGAGAATGATTGAATCAAGGTGTTATAGCTCATTATGATGTGGAGCCAGTAATATCTGCTTCCAAAGCCTGTATTTTTGTCACTACAACAGTGATTCTCAAACTTTAACATATGTAAGAACCATCTAGAGCACTGTTTAAAACAGGTTCCTGGGAACCTGCCCTAGAGATTATGTTTTAGTAGTTTGGGATGGGGCCTATGAATTAGTATTTCTAATAAACTGACAGTTGATGCCAATGTTGCTACTCCAGGGCCCACACTTTGAGAAGCCCCATGTGAGGACAGGTACACTTCTGCTGCAGAGCTTTGGCAGTTAAAGTTGACTCTGCTGTAACTCTCTCCTCTCAGATATCCACTTAGCTCGCTTCCCTTTTTCCTGTCATTTACAATTGCCACCTTCATAACACAGCGTCCATACTATCTAAAAATGCAACCTATCTCCCATATACATGCACTCCTTTATTCCCATTTCCTGCTTTATTGTTGTCCTCGGCACTTAACACCATCTAACAGAATACAGGCATACCTTGTTTCATTGTGCTTCACTTCACTGCGCTCCACAGATGTGGCATTTCTTACAAATTGAAGGGAAGGTCCTCCACCAGCAAAAAGATTATACTCGCTTTATTTCGATGCTTGCTTACTGCAGTAGTCCAGAACCAAACTGGCAATATCTCCGAGATATGCCTGTATATGTTTTACTTATTATTTTATTTCCTGTCTGCTTTTCCCACTAGAATGTAAGCTCTGTAAAGGCAGAAATTTTTGTTTGGTCACTCCTGTATCTTCAGTGCCTCAAAACAGCACCAGGTGCATAACTCAAGTATTTGTTGAAGGAATGAATTATTCAAAGTTATTCTCACATCTCTCACAATAGGTATTATTGTCCTTATCCTGAAAATGAGGAAAACAAGGCTCAGTAAATAGTAGAGCTGGGATTCTAACCCACGTCTAATTTACTTCGAGCCCATTAGTGTTTTTAACTGTGTTTTCCTCCTAGTGAGAGATTACTACTGAATTATATATTTCACATTTATGTATAGTTACTCAGACCACAAGTACTTAATTGATGAATGATTAAATATGCAAGCAAACAGCCATAATCCTTTCTTCCAAAGCCCCAATTCCAGTACAAGTATGTCGCTGGGTTATAACTATAAGAAGCAGATGGAGCCCTGGCCAGTTTGGCTCAGCGGTTAGAGTGTCGGCCTGCGGTCTGGAGAGACCCGGGTTCGGTTCCCGCTAAGGGCACGTACTTCGGTTGCAGTTTGTCCCCGGCCCTGGTTGGTCGTGTGGGTGGCAGCCACTCGATGTGTCCCTTCACGTCGATGTTTCTCTCTCTCTCTCCCTTCCTCTCTCTCCCTCCCACTCTATCTGTACAAAAAAAAAAAAAATGGAAAAATATCCTCGGGTGAGGATTAAAAAAAAAAAAAAGAAGCCGATGGAGAAAACATGTCAGAAGTGTACAGTGATGAATCAGTCATGACCTTTAAATAAATACTTATATCTCTGGAAAGTTAATAGAAAAAGTCTTAGAAATTATTTATATTTTACTAGTAAACAGTTTTTCCAAATCCTTTACAGGGAGCAATTTTTGTTGGGATGCAGGGAACTAGAATCCAAGGATATTGAATGTTGTCTGTGGGTACTGGAGTAAGAGTTGGGAGTGTACTGTACAGCTAAAATAAAGCCAGAGTAAAACAATTCCAGGAGATTCACTAGTAATAGTAAATATTCTAATGGCTCTGGATATAAATATATAATGATCGGATGGTGGGTACCTAATGATCAAAGAAACACAATCTTTGCCTTCATTGAACTTATTGATTAGTAAAAGGTATTTGTAGTGTTTACCAAAAACTAGGTATATAAATGATTGTGGTGTTATGAAAGAAATGAACAGAATGCTAAAATGAAGACTACAAGGGGTGAGGAAGGAGAAATGCTTCTGAAATGACTTTTAAGCAGAGACATAAATGTTAGTGAGCCAGGTGTGCAGTGAGCTGGGAACGAGCCAGTCCAGGCAGAGGGAAGGCAGTACGTGCACATATGTGCGGGGGAAAGAGACTGCTGAAGGAAGGGGCTGGCTGGGAAGTGAGGGAGAGAGGCGTGAGTGCGACTGGAGGTATTAGCTGAAGCAGGGTCACACAGGACCTCAGAGCTACAATAGAAGGCAGTGTTTTATTGTAAATGCAATGGAAAGCCATTTGAGGTTTTTAATTAAAAAAGGACTTGATAGCCCTGGCTAGTTTGGCTCAGCAATTGGAGCATCAGCCCTCGGACCGAACAGTCTCGGGGTCAATTCTGGTCAAGGGCACGTGTACCTCGGTTGCGGTTCAGTCCCCGGTTGGGGTCATGTGGACGGCAACCAATCAATGTGTCTTTTTCACATCAATGTCTCTCTCTTTCTCTCTATCTCTCTTTTTCTTTTTCTCTCTCTCCCCCTCCCCCCTTCCCTCCCCACTCTATCTGAAAATCAATGGAAAAACATCCTGGGGTAAAGATTTAAAAAAAAGAAAAGGATTTGATAAAGGAGATAGACCTGGCTTTGGTCTGAAGGTAGGGATTATATCTTAAGGGCCATGTATAAGACTAAACAGAATTATTCACTTTTTTTTTTTGGTATGTGGCCTTAGTGGGAACCGAACCCGGGACTCTCTGGTCCGTAGGCCGACGCTCCAACCGCTGAGCCAAACCGGCCAAGGCAATTATTCACTTTCTGTATAAATTTGGACTCATATTCATTCACCACCCATGGGTCAGGGCTTTGATTTTAAAAGCATCTATGTAAAAGTATTCTAATTCATATATTTCATTCTTGCCTTTATTTTTAAAGTATATGACATATATGACATTTAAAATACTCCCTATTATAATGTCTATTACTCCTAATTTAAAAGGAGAAAAATCCTATCAACTATTTATTTCTAAACTTTTTAAAACATTGTAAAGAATTCAGTAAGCTTCATTTTTCGGTGCCAGTGTAGTCTCATCAACCTGAGAGAGACGTGATAATTATGAAATTGCATCTTTCTGATGCCTGCACAGTGGTCTTTTCTTGATAAATAGCAGTGGTCATTTGGTAGCTTTTGTAAGTTTGCCAGGTGAGCATTCACCCGCATGTTCATAGCAGCACTATTTACAATAGCTAAGATCTGGAAAGAGCCCAAGGGCCCATCAGTAGAGGAGTGGATAAAAAAGCTGTGGTATGTTTACACAATGGAACCCTATGCAGCTGTAAGAAAGACGATCTCTTATACTTGAGAGTATTGTGCTAAGTGAAATGATTGCCAACTAGAGAAAGACACGTATCACATGATCTCACTTATATGTGGAATCCAATGAACAAAATAAACTGACAAACAAAATAGATCCAGAAACATAAAAGTAGGGAAGGTGGGGGAGGAACAGGAAGAGATAAACCAAAGAACTTATATGGACAGACAATAGTGTGGTGAAGGCAGGGGAAGGGGAGGACGGGGTCACTAGAGGAAAAAGGGGAGACATCTGTAATACTTTCAACAATAAAGATAAATAAAAAAAATAGTTGTCCTCGTCCAGATAGCTGAATTTACCAGGTAACTTTTTTAAAAAATCCTTACCAGAGGATATTTTCACATTTATCTTCAGACAGAGTGGAAGGGAAAGAGAGAGAGAAACGTCAACCTGAGAGAGACATGTCGACTGGTTGCCACCTGTACAACCCCAACCAGGGCCGGGGACAAACCACAACTGAGGTACATGCCCTTGGCTGGAATTGAACCCGAGTCTCTTTGGTCTGCGGGCCGACTCTCTAACCACTGAGCCAAACTGGCCAGGGCCCAGGTAACTTACTTTTAAAGATGAGTTAAGATTAGCATGTAACAGCCAGATGAAGAAATAACTGCAAACATGATTTGTAAGCATGATCAAATCACTACTTCTTTACTCCAAGCAAGTGGGAGTCCACACACTGCACTGATGTACTGGAGTGAATAATCATTACTAGCACCCATGGGTCAGGGCTTTGATTTAAAAAGTGTCTATGTAAAATCCATACAGTGGGAAGATACCCTCACAAATTTTAATAGCACAAGCCCCTTATAAACTATTAGTAAAGCCTAAATTGTCTTCACTGATACGTAAAATATATTTAAATCTTATTTTATGTAGCTATAACTCACTACTGAAATGCTCATTGGGATAAATGATTTACTATTTTATTCTGTTTTTCAGACAGCATAAAATAGAAGATGCTGGTATAGTATATGTAACTGAAAAAAAAGAAGAACTCAAACATGAAAAAGAACCTGGAAAAAGTACATCACATTCAAAACCATGTGTCAGGAGAGGACGTGTATATTATGCTAAATTCATTAACACAAATGCAAGAACATTCAATGAACCAGTTCCTTACATAGATTCCAAAAAAGATTCCGAAAATCAGGTCGGACAGATGTTCATTATATACAAATACAGATTTAGATTTAGAAGCTGTTTTGCAGGATAATTTGGTTACAGACTACTTAAAGAATGTGACATATCTCAGACTTTTTATAATCTAATAGTTAAAAGCAATAATCTGGAACTATTCTCTCAGATAACTTTTGCATACAAAAAATATTTTTAAAATACACATATTGCTGTATATTCCATATTCATTCTGGAAAAATGATTAATTGGATTCCTTTCATATATATTATAGCCACACAGTAGTACTTGGAGGTTACTGAAATCTCTTCTATAGTATTTGTGACATATTCTAATATAAAAATTTCCCATGATACTCAGTATTTCAGATACTTTCTATAAAATAATAGCTATCATTTATTAGTGTATGAAGTGTTAGGAATGAGCTAAGTGTTTTATGTAAGTTATATCCTTGAATCTGCGCAATAATTTCTAAGAGGTATTATTGGAAATATTTTACAGATGATAACATACTCCAAAAAGTAAATTAACATGTCTGAGATTACATAGTAAGCAACTATCATAGTCATGTCTCTGATCCAGGACTATTGCTTTAGCCAAACCACACTTTTATTCACTGATACTAACTATATTCCATTATCTTCTCTTTTTTAACATAAATTTATTCTCTTACAGTTCTGGAGCTTAGAAGTCTAAAATCAGTCTCATTGGCTATAGGCAAGGCTGGTTCCTTCTTTGGGTGCAAAGGGAGAATCTGTTCCCAGCTTCCAGAGCAGGGGTAGGGAACCTTTTTTCTGCTGAGGGCCATTTGGATATTTATAAACCATTCAAGGGCCATACAAAACAATCAACTTAAAAATTAGCCTGCTATCCTTGGCTAGGATAACTTGGTGAGGCCTGTGATGGTAGCTGGTATTGATTCCTCGGGCCTTACTACTGCCCAAGGGCCGCGGTTCCCCACCCCTGTAGAGGCTGCCTGCATTCCTTGGATCTGGCCCCTTCCTGGTCAAGGCCAGTAGCAAAGCATCTTCAAATCTCTCTCTGACTTTCCTGCCCAAACTCTTCTAAGGAGCTTTATGATTTTAGATTCACCTAGATAACCTGAGAAAACTTTCCCTTCTCAGATCCTTAGCTCAATCACAGCCACAGAGTTCCTTCTGCCGTGCAAGATTGGGTCTAGTTGGAAGTTAGATGTAGTTGTGATTTAACTTAACATGGACATGGAGATTGCTTTTAGAGAGTTCTCTGTACAATGAAACATAACTGTTCTTGTCATAAAACAGCACACTGTGGTGGTGGGTATGGATGTGAGATCTTCCTGAAATGGGAATGTCTGTAGTCAAATATGCTTTAATATCATGTAATGAACCCTTACAAGGGCAGTTTTAAGGCTCTTATTTTATAAAAAATTATTTGGGATTTAAAAGAAATTGAGCCCTGGCCGGTTTTGCTCAGCGGTTAGAGCGTTGGCCTGTGGTCCAGAGAGACCCGGGTTGGGTTCCCACTAAGGGCATGTACCTCAGTTGCAGTTTGTCCCCGGCCCCAGTTGGGGTCGTGAGGGTGGCAGCCAGTCGATGTCTCTTTCTCACATTGATGTTTCTCTCTCTCTTTCCCCCTCTCTCCCTCCTGCTCTATCTGAAGATAAATGCAAAAATGTCCTTGTGTGAGGATAAAAAAAAAAGAAAGAAAGAAATCGAGCCCGGCTGGTGTGGCTCAGTGGTTGAGCATTGACCCATGTACCAAGAGGGCACCAGTTCGATTCCTGGTCAGGGCACATGCCTAGGTTGTGGGCCAGATCCCCAGTGCGGGGCATGCAGGAGGCGGCCAATAGATATTCTCTCTCATCAATGTTTCTCTCTCTCTCTAAAATCAATAAAGAAAAAAAATAAAAGAAATTAATAGACTAGGTCTACACTGGGGAAATAAGTCTGGTACCAAAATCCAGGTTAGTAAAGTCCTCATATGTTTTACAAAAGTTAATGGGTGATTCTCCTGAGCTCGAATTCTGGGCTGAATTTAAACCTGACTGTTAACTGAACCAATCCTACCTTGGAGACACTAAGGAAAAGATGGTTTGAGAACAGAAATATGAAACATAAAAGTTTCACATTTTAATCCAATAATTTTCTCTTACTCCTAATTTGTAAGCTCTTTTGAAAAAAATAAATAAATGAATAAAAGTGTTAGGAGCTGTAGTCAGCAAGACTGGGTGACAGAGTAGCAGAACCTTTGCTTGATTAGTGCTCAGAGCACTAATCTGAGTCAGAGACCTTTAAGGGACAGTGAAAGTGTGAACCAAAGAGGACAGGTAAGAGAGGTTGGTAGTGGACATGAATGAGGACTTACAAGACGGAATGTGCTTCATGGTGTTAAAAGTATGTCTGACTCAGTGTGGAATGAAGGGAATGCTCATATGTAGTAAACAAAAACAACAACACTAAAAACCCTTAAATGTGCTCATTTCCAAGTATCTGAGGAGTAATAAAGTGCTCATTTCACATACTTGTAAACTTTGTTTTTTATTTTTTTTTAGCTTGGTTAAAAAAAACAAAACAAAAAAAACCTAGTTTGCCTGGCCAGTGTGGCTCAGTGGTTGAGCGTCGACCCATGCACCGAGAGGTTGCCGGTTCAATTCCTGGTCAGGGCACATGCCCAGGTTGTGGACCCGACCCCCAGTGAGGGGTATGTAGGAGGCAACCAATTGATGTTCTCTCTCAGCAATGTTTCTATCTCTCCCTCTCCCTTCCTCTCTCTAAAATCAATAAAGAAAAAAAGAAAAAAGGTATAAAAAAAAACCCCTAGTTTATAGTAATGCTGGTTTTAAAATAAGAGTAAAAAAAATAAAGTTACCTAAATATTTATATTGACATATTTGTTGTCCTATGTATTTTGCTAAGATAATATCTTTGCCTGGCCAATGTGGCTCAGTGGTTTAGTGTCGACCCATGCACCAAGAGATCACTGGTTCGATCCCCAGTCAGGGCACATGCCCAGGTTGTGGGCCAAATCCCCAGTGGGGGGCATGCAGGAGGCAGCCAATCGATGTTCTCGCTCGTTGATGTTTCTCTCTCTCTCTCTCCTTTCCTCTCTCTCTAAAATCAATAAAGAAAAAAAAAAATAGTATCTTTAGAACACCATAGGGGTTGATTGTATTCGTTGACAAGATTTTTAAATGAATGATTTTCTACCTAAGGACATAAAATTGGGGGGTGCTAGCAGAAGTAAAAAGGTGCTTAGCTCGGTCACTGCCAACAAAAACTAGTTTGGTTGTCTTATATTTTTAAATATTGGTATCTAAAGAGATTACACTGTTTTCCAAAGTGGTTTTTCCCCCCAAAGAGTACTTTTCAGAGCACTAGACCTTCCTTATGTGCTCAATAAAATAAAGCTCCAAAGTCAAATAATGCTTTTAAAAAGCTGTATTTGTATCTACCTTTCTCAGAACTTCACAGTTCACATCAGTATATCAAGGTTCCAAGAAATCCTCCGATGAGCTTGTTTAACTTTGCTTACCTCAACCTTTCCTAACATTTAACTACGGAACCCTCGTTTATGTGGCGCCTATTAATATGCTGCAGAGCTGGTGCTCCACAGAACGCAATTTAAGAGTAACTTACTGAGGACATTGCAAATTGCTTAAAAAGAGGAAATCGTCAGCTCCTGATAGCCACAGCACACTAGAGATGAACTGAGAATGTAGCCAGTGTTTGTGATAGCACTTCAGTTTTTCAGAGCCACTAAACTCTACCAGTAAAACGTAGTTCGTTGTCTTTGTGTGAGGTGTTGTTCCGCATCCATATTTCCCCAGGAATCCCTCGAGTGTGAGTTCGTGGTGCACACCTGGCCACCAGCAGCAGCTGTCCTGGCCAGGCCGCGGCGCTGCGGTGGAGCTCGGCTCGCCCTCTTGCTGCTTTTAACTGCTTTTGCCAGGATGTCTCACCTGCTTTTACTACTTATTCCCTGAGGATTCTTAATTTCCCAAAGAAGGGAAAATAAGTAATGTTTATGAACACCTTTCTACTGGCTTAGGGATGACACAGGTATAACTAAACACTGCTTCGCAGTGGTTTCCAAATGTGGCCAAGGGGTTGGTAGTGCAACGGCCTTTAGGCCTTCCAGGGATCAGGGGTTGACGGGAGCCTCGTCACCAAGAATCTCCAGGCATCTCCCTACCACAGAACCCCAGTGACTGTCATCCTGGGGAAGGAAAGGAGACAGGCCTTGGGCTGGAAGGGAGAACGTCCTTTTTTCTTTGGGTCCAAAGTTTTGAACTGGGAACAACTACCTTTTTTAGGCAAGCCCCCTCCACCATCTGCCAGATGTGGTCTGACCCCCAAAGCCTAGACAAAACAATCACACTAGTGGACTTTCCCAGATTGGCATCGTTCATCGCAGACCACTCTGTGTCAGCCCTTCACAATTCAGTGTAAGCGATGGTAGGCAGGACAGTACATTTTTAGTCTTTCCCTTGAGCAAGAGGTGAAGAAAAAAACAAGCCTCCATCTCTCTCTATATTTTTTTCTTTATTGATTTTCAAAGGGAAAGGGAGACAGAGAAACATCGATGAGAGAGAACATCGACTGGCGGCCTCCTGCATACTCCCCACTGGGGATCAGGCCCACACCCAAGGCATGTGCCCTGACCGGGAATCGAACTGGCAACCTCTTGGTGCATGGGTCTACGCTCAACCACTGAGCCACACCAGCCACGCCAGGCCTCCATCTGTGCCTTTAATCATAATCTCTTACAAGCAAATGCTTGGACGAAAAAGGCAAGCACACAGCATGGGTGCAAATACCATCTCACTCTTCCAGGAACAAACCAGACGTTTCAGGGATGGGGCCGACTTTCCAGAAATAGAAATGATAAAAACATCTTTTGAAATGTAGGATTTCATCCTGCTGAAATGAAAATTCATCCGATTGACAACACTAATCAGGACACGTTCCCAACTATGGGGTCTTAAAGTCATCAATCACACTTTAGGGAAAATTGTTCATTATTTCCTTTGTGTAACTAAACAGACCGTTTTGGTAACATTCTAAATTCAAAAGAATTCTTCTTTCCCAGCCAGTGTGGCTCAGTGGTTGAGCGTCAACCCATGCACCAAGAGGTTGCAGGTTCGATTACCAGTCAGGGCACATGCCCTGGGGGTTTGGGGTTGGATTCCCAGTGGGGGGCGTGCAGGAGGCAGCCAACTGATGTTTCTCATATTGATGTTTCTCTTTCTCCTCCCTTCCTCTTTCTCTAAAAATCAATAAAATATATATTTTTTTAAATTCTTTTTGAAAGGTGAACTAGTATCTCTCTGCTTTAAAGATCATTTTTTGCATTGTACTCTGGTTTGGGGGGTGGGGGGACTGAAGTCTGCCAATCCTTTTCTAGTTGTTCACTTATCCCAGAGTCAATTTCCCAGTTACTGGGTGTTAGCAAAATAAGTTTCTGGTCAACAAATGAAGATAGTATAAAGTACACTCCCTAAAACCTTATCATAGGAGATCTTTCTCAGGACACTCAGCGCCCTTTTCTTTTTACTTTTGAAATAATTTAAGTAAGTCTGTGCTCATCTGGCTTTGCATTCCACAGCGGATTAGTTACAGCAACGTGGCAGGGAAATCAGAGGCGCACAGGTGTGTGTGGGGGAGGGGGCTTACACTGTGACAGCCTGCTGCCTGCTGGTGAGGGGCCTTGGGGAGGTTACTGAACCTGCAGCAGTTTTCTCATCTGCAAAGTGGGTGCACCTACCTAACAGAGAGTGGTGAGAGTAAGTGAGAGAAGGCCTGGACATCCTAGAGCTCCAAGCATAATAAGCACTATCCTCGTCCTGGAGCTGCAAGAGCCAGGCACGCCGACAACAGTGAGCCGTGACTATTTTCAGCCAATGGTGAGAAGACACCATCTGTTTAGTAATCTGCTCTAGAATTCCTGGGATCTACATCAAGTAGTTTTCTTTTTTGTAATTCACCTTTCAACCCATTCTGAAAAATGAGGCAGCTGGTCTCTCCTAGTCTCCAAAATTCCCTGCTTCCTAAATGTCTTTGATCTCTGCAAACGTATTCCTTACCTCTGGTTACAATTTCCCATTGTCCCGAAGGCTGGCGCTCATTTAAAGTTGCAAAGTGAGGTCTAACTCTCTCTTTAACTATGCATGTTCGTCTCATCTTTTTCAGTTTGAAGATAATTTCTTTTTACAAAGAACCTTAAGTTGAGTAGGTCTGACTTTAAGCTCTCTGCCAAGTATACTTTCCTCCAAACTTTTACCCTTTCCTTGATTTCTTGCTACAACAGGATCCCACCCACCCCCAAAACCTTATTTTTGCTGCTTTTGGCACATTTGTGAATTTCTCCTATCTAAGCTTGTTGACAATCTCCTGACAAGTCGACTGCATTAAATTCTTTCTTTCGAATTTGATAGTGTGCCTCTCTTACACATGCCTGTCTTTAGAAACTGAGCTCATTTCAGAGCTGACTCCCTCTGCAGACAAAGGTCTCTGGGTGCCTCTTGTTTCTTATATCAATGTAGCTTCCATTGCATTGTTGGAATTTTACTTATTATCTCATATTCATCCCCCTTGAATCATATTTTTAAAGTCTTTGATTATGGAACCATAGCTGAATTTTTAAAAGGCTGATCTCCTTTCTTAAAGCTAAGGTAGGTGTTTAATTAAACCTAAGGTTTCGTTTCATTCTCTAATATCAAAAAATTCCTAGGCGTCACAGCTGCCTTCTCTCAAGGTCCTCGTACTTCTACCTAATCAATCAGTTTCTAAAAAACATTTTAGTCAGAATAAAGTCAAGTGACTGGGAGGGAATTCCCTCCCTCGCAGATTTCTCAGCTTCTAGGGCGGCAGTTCTCAACCTGTGGGTCGTGACCCCTTTGGGGGTCAAACGACCCTTTCACAGGGGTTGCCTAAGACCACTGGAAAACACATATTTCCGATGGAGATTCATGAGAGTAGCAAAATTACAGTTATGAAGTAGCAACGAAAATAATTTTATGGTTGGGGGTCACCACCACATGAGGAACTGTATTAAAGGGCCGCGGCATTAGGAAGGTTGAGAACCACTGCTCTAGGGGATCAGACTAGAATATGTGCTGATGAAGAACCATCACTTCTCCCCTTCCTGTGTACTCAGGTCAGGTTTTATTATCAAACATTCAGTAACATCAGAGATGTTTCCACTAACAACTTTTCCTAGGAGAGTCATTAGTGAGGTATAAGTCAATGTGGGTTGCAACAAGGTGCTGTGAAATAAAATAGAAGAGAAAAGCAAAATAGAAAAATAGCCAACTGCACTGCATGTAGTAAGAGGAAGTATTGTTCTGTGATACTAAACTAGTCCTATGTATACGTGTATGCATTGTGTCCTAAAATGTATTTCATGGTGTGGGTAATGGACAAAAAGCTTTGAAAATCGCCATCTTAGATGATAATACATTATACTTGTATACATTATCATAATTTCATTAGATTCTGTATAGAACAGAATTTTTACATTAAATTGTGTTTAATAATATACATACATGTGTATATATGTTATAAAATTGAATAAAACAGAAATATAACTTATTTTGTTGATTTTTGTAACTCCAGCTGTTAATAGAAGGTAGTTTAAGAATTTAGCATCTGCCCTGGCTGGTTTGGCTCAGCAGTTAGAGCGTTGGCTTGCGGTCCATGGAGACCCAGGTTCAGTTCCCGCTAAGGGCACGTACGTCGGTTGCAGTTTGTCCCCGGCGCTGGTGGGTCCTGTGGGAGGCAGCCACTCGATGCGTCCCTTTCACATTGATGTTTCTCTCTCTCTCTCTCTCTCCTTCCCACTCTATCTGAACAAAAAATGGAAAAATGTCCTCGGGTAAGGATAAAAAAAAAAAAAGAATTTAGCATCTGTATTTTAAGCTAAAAAATATGACAGTTTCATTTTTAGGTGTCTTTTAAGAAATACAGTGTTTGTGGAAATATATTTAGATTTCAAAACTTTGTTTTAGTACTAGAATATCCAATGACTTGTGGAATCAAATTACTGAACATTCAAAGACACTGAGCAGCACACAAAAATGTCCTACAGTATCCAATCTTGTGCTTCCAATTTTTTCCCCATAAAGGGTGACTGGTGGTCACATGGTAAAGGACCTGAACATCACTTCCAACCACCTTATGATACTAAGAGCACCCAGAGGAGTGACTTTCAAAAGCCAACATGTCCGTTGGTTTTGCCTGTCAAACACAGCAAGTTGCAAAAGCCTTCCTGTGGAATAGGTAAGGTCGGCAGAGGTAAACCTCTCCTGTACTATCTCAGGTTACCCCTGTCAACTTTGGGTGTATTAGATGTCTGAGATCTCCTGGCACCTCCTGAGACGATCTCTTCTCTATAGGAGTTGAAAATATATATATACAGCAAGTGCAGCCCTTGACAAGTTTGCTCCTTATCCCTTCCTGATGGACAGCTTATCTCCAAACACATTCAATATAACATAAAAATTGCACTGATCAGTAAACACCAGCCTCCAAGTCAGAAACTTAGTGGCAGTCTGCTCTTTATTGCCACCAATTAAAAAAATTGTAACTATTAAAATAGTAGGCAGCTCTGGCCGGTTTGGCTCAGCGGTTAGAGCGTCAGCCTGTGGACTGGAGAGTCCTGGGTTTGGTTCCCGCTAAGGGCATGTACCTCGGTTGCAGTTTGTCCCCAGCTCTGGTTGGGGTTGTGTGGGTGGCAACCAGTTGATGTGTCTCTCTCACATCGATGTTTCTCTCTCTCTCTTCCTCCCTCTCTCCCTCCTGCTCTATCTGAAGATGAATGCAAAAAAAATAAAATAAGTCCTCGGGTGAGGATTGAAAAAAAAAAGTTCCTATGATAAACTTCAAATTTTCTAAAGGCAGCAGTACACAACAAAGGATTACTTTTAGAGGTCAACAGTCCCCCACTTAATTTTAGCCTTCTGGCCTCTGTGATCTGGCCAATCTAGTTAAGCACACAAAAGGCAGCTAGACTGGAGGTCAGGACCAATGGTCACATTCAGTATGATTTCCACCTCAAGGGTGGTAGTTAAGGGAGAGGGCTCACTGTTAATCTATAACAGTGGCCTGAGAAAAACAATGTGATGGGTAGGGTAATGTTTTCATTAAAAAATATATACTTGTATATGCTTGGGTAAGGAGAGTATGGGAGGCAGCACTCCGGGCTGTTCTGCTGGTATTGGAGGTGGGGTAGGTGACTAGCTTGTTCTTTTTCTGTGGATTGTGTCACTTGTTATATAATGTATTATTTTATCATTTGAAAAATGAACCACATCTTTTTTCTCATTTAATTGTTTACTTCCATGTGGTAAATGCTTGAAAAGATTAAAAAAAAAAAAAGATGATAATGTTTCCACTTCTGATTCAGGATGGTAAACTGAGTACAAATATCAAAATCCCTGGCCTGCCAAGACCCTACTAAATGATAGCAAAGCAGCTGATCCATAAAGGTAAAGAGAATTGAAGGAAGAATTTTCTGGAATGTGGGAAGAATGGAAGCCTGTTCATGGACAAGAAAGCAAAGACGCAGTAGCTTAGAACATAAGAAGGAGGTGCAGCGAAGATGAGCCCGTCTGCCTGACAAAACCCCGAAGTAGCTGTGGCTCGATCAGCAGGCATAACAGGAGGAAAATGGGGTGGGAGGAGGAGAGGGTCATTTAAGGAAGTATCACAGAGCATAAAACATGACAAAAACAACAACAACTAGAAAATGAGAGGATAAAAGCAAATGGAGAATCAGCCTGGAAGGTTCAGCTTCTCTGGAGCTCCAGAAATGAAGAGTAGGAACTGAAGATGAGATCATTATCAATGCAATACATTCATTGAGAACATACTACTTGCCAGAACTTCTATGGAACTTTCTAAATATTGATTCATCAATTCTCACACCAACCCTATGGGAAAGTAAAGTAATACAATTAATACTCTCATTTTATAGATAAGAAAGTAAGCACAGAATTTAAATAACTCGCCCAAAGTTACACTGCAAACAGTGGGTGTTTGAACTGTCTGACTTCAGTACCTGTAACAATAACCAGGGCTCTCCACAGCCCCTAGAGTAATAAGGAAGTTTCCCAGTATAACAGAGACACTGAACAGGTCTAGGTCTACCGAGTGCTTCAAAGCATGAGGGGAAAAATACACACCGACATATCACCGTGAAAGTGCAAAATAACAATTATAAAGAGACAGTCCATGAAGAGAAGAAAAATAGTGACCATCTAAGGAATAAGAATCAACGTGGACTCGAGCAGCACTGAGACAGGAGCACAGCGTAGCTGATGTCTTCAGGGTGCTCGCGGGAACACAACGTAGCTGATGTCTTCAGGGTGCTCGGCGGAAATAATTTTTCAACCTAGAAAAGAGGATTTATTCGACCTGGACACTAGAACCTTTTTTTCCCAATTGGCACTGGGCATTGGACCCACTGAGAAAGAAATATAGTCCTGAAACAGTATTTGGACCCGTAAGTGAACAAAATTCAATTATATTGTAAATGCTATTTAGCAGGTCTTGATTTTTAGCATCAATCTATAAACACAATATGGAAAACTCAAATATGGCCACAGAACAGAATTATGTTGTCTGCCTTAGCAAGCAAAGTAAACAGTCGACAGAAGATGAGAAGAGAAGGGTGCTAATGTCGTTATTTAACGTGAGCGCTCCAGGGATACTACCCAAAGTAGATGAAACGGAATAGAAGATTAAGGTTAAAGTCAAAGGAACTAATATAAGAACCAGTTTTCTCTCCAGCCCTGGCCTCTTCACTGAGCTTCAACCAAACTCTCAGTCAACCACCTACTTAACCTCTCTTCTTGGATAGCAAATCTCCTTTTCAAACTTAGCATGGCTGGAATAGAACATCTCACTTCCCCCATCCAAACCTATTCCTCCACCACTTACCCATCTCAATAAATGCCACTTCTATTCCCCCAGATGCTCAAGTTTCGTTAATCTATAAGTCATTCTAAAACTCTCTACTCTCTACATCCAATCCATCAGCAAATCTTGACACCTCAATCTTCAAAATATATCCCCAATCTTCTTACCAATGTAGTGCAGCCACTGGTCTCCCGCTCCTGTCCTTTCTGCTCCATAATTTGTCTTCCACACACACCATCGTCAAAGGATCTTTTAAAAACAAATGATATGCCCTGGCCAGTTTGGCTCAGCAGTTAGAGCGTCGGCCTGCGGTCTGGAGAGACCCGGGTTCAGTGTCCGCTAAGGGCACGTACCTCGGTTGCAGTTTGTCCCCGGCCCTGGTTGGTCGTATGGGTGGCAGCCATTTGATGTGTCCCTTTCACGTCGATGTTTCTCTCTCTCACTCTCTCTCTCTCTCCCTCTCTCCCCCTCTCCCTCTCCCCCTCTTCCTCTCCCTCTCCCTCTCTTCCTCCCTCCCTCTTTTCCTCCCTCTCTCCCTCTCTCTCCCCCACTCTGAACAAAAAATGGAAAAATGTCCTCGGGTGAGGATAAAAAAACAAATGATACCACTCTCCTCCTTGAGGTCCTCCAGTTACTTCTCATTGTTTATTATGAGAAATAAAGTGCCTACCACCATCCTTAGTACATAGTGAACAACAAATGGTAGGTATTTTTATTAATTATTGCACTGTAGTGAATCAGGTGTTGAGTTGGAAACTAGCTTTGGGAACCTGGCATGATGTCTTCTTTTCTACCTCTACTTGCCTTTCCTCCCTCCTTCCTCCTCTTCCTTTTCCTCTTCTTCCCTCCTCCTTCTCCCTCTCCTTCTGTCTCTATTTTTATTGATATTTCTCATTGCCAAGATTATTATTATATCCCAGGTCCTAGCACAATGCCCAGACTCAACCAGTGTTTGTTGATTAGTTTAATGACAAATACTTATTTATCCCCCCAGCCAGTGTGCTCAGTGATTAGAGCATGGGCCTAATTTTTGATTCCTGGTCAAGGGCTCGTACCTGGGTTGAGGTTCTATCCCTGGCCCCAGTCAGGGCATGTTTGGGATGCCTCTCCGATTGATGTGGCTCTCACATGGCTGTTTCTCCCCTCCCCCAATCTCTCCCTCTCTCAGAAAAAAAAAAAATTAATGGAAAAAATATCCTCAGGTGAGGATTAACAACAATAAAATATACATATTATTCAACAGATTATTTAAAGTCATAATGTAATTTAAACTAGCATACACACCAATATAGGCTTGTAATTTATTCATATATATATATATTTTTTTTATCCTCACCCGAGGACATTTTTCGATATTTTGTTCAGATAGAGTGAGAGGGAGAGAGAGAGAGAGAAACCTCGACGTGAAAGCGACACATCGAGTGGTTGCCACCCACACGACCCAACCAGGGCTGGGGACAAACTGCAACCAAGGTACGTGCCCTTAGCGGGAACCGAACCCGGGTCTCTCCGGACCGCAGGCCGATGCTCTAACCGCTGAACCAAACCGGCCAGGGCGTAATTTATTCATATTTTAGATGGTATTTGGCTACTAGATGAACATGATTTTATTTTTTTTTTTTTTTTTTTTTTTTTTTAATCCTCACCTGAGGATATTTTTCCATTTTTTGTACAGATAGAGTGGGAGGGAGAGAGAGAGAGAAACATCGACATGAAGGGACACATCGAGTGGCTGCCACCCGCACGACCAACCAGGGCCGGGGACAAACTGCAACCGAAGTACGTGCCCTTAGCGGGAACCGAACCCGGGTCTCTCCGGACCGCAGGCCGACGCTCTAACCGCTGAGCCAAACTGGCCAGGGCTGAACATGATTTTAAAAGGAAAAAAAATATATATATATATATGTGTATATTTTGTTGTTGTTAATCCTCACCCAAGAATATCTTTTCCACTGATGTTTTAGAGACAGTGGAAGGGGCGGGGAGAGAGACACCGATGTGAGAGAGACACATCAATTGGTTGCCTCCCACACACCCTCTGAGTGGAGCCCAGGGATTGAACCTGCAAGCCCCGTACATGCCCTTGACTGGAAATTGAACCCAAGACCCTTCAGTGCTCGGGACCCACTCTCTAACCACTGAAGCTACACTGGCCAGGGCAAGAAAATATTTTAATGTAACATTTTGAAATGTGTAAATAAACTAGTCTGTATATGCCAGATTATGTATGTGGACATAGAAAATGTGTATATAAACATGCATTAATGCCAATGATAAGTCATCTCATAGTCATTTTGTTCCATCAGCCCACTTAATTACGCCTAGTCTTTGGCATTTCATCTGTGCTAACAGTGAAAGTG